TCCCTTCCCTTCCCTTCCCTTCCCTCCCCTTCCCCTTCCCCTTCCCCTTCCCCTTCCCCTTCCCCTTCCCCTTTCCCTTTCCCTTTCCCTTCCATTTTAAGTCTAAGCCAATACCTTATTTCTCTTGTTTCTCATCAGAAATTGGTGGAACACTGCTCTACTAGTGTTTGACCATTGAATTTTAGCAGCATGATCCTTTGGGTGCTACAAATGACAGTTTGGGAGAACTTGTGCAAACTACAGGTTGCTTATCTCTTATGTCAATCCTTTGGTTAACTGATACCTACATACTTGCAAAATCACAATGGGAAAGGTTAGGGAATGGCCGACTGGATTTACAGTTCAATGCCTTGAATATATACTTTGAATGTAGGAAATCTTAGTTGCAATTCTCTACTAAAAAGGAACAGATAAAGAATCAGCCTCAGACCTGAAGAAAGCCATCTTCAACAATAACCTTCAGTGAGGCTTGGACCTCTCCCAATTTTAAAGTGCTTGGCTACAATAAAAATGAAGGTGATGATCCACAGAAACAAAATAATGTATACCCACAAAATAGCAAGACATAATGTGAATATTTTAAAATTAACATTAGCAAAAGCCCAAGTGAGAGCCACTATTTGAATTTGGCCCTCAGCCCATCTTCAGATGATCCTGATAACCGGGCTGCTGTAAGACAGTTTCTAGGAACAGCAATCATGAGACATACCCAGCAGTGTTAATTTACACTTACCATTGCTGGGAAGTGACATTTCTTTGCATATTTAGGTATCCTGGGCTCAGTAGTACTGGTTACATATCACATGGGTTGTATAAACTGAATGCTGTCCTCATGAATCAGGAAAATTAACTACAAACAGCTAGCAACAAGAATAGGTTCTGGGTAACTTGCAATGCATAGGTGAGACACTATAGAAGAAGGCTATATTAGTTCACTTTTAGAAGATAAGCCTCTGTGATTGATTATTCAGTGTGTGGTGGAATATCTTATCTGCACAGTTCCCACTAGATTGTATATCATGTTGGGAGTTGGATGGATTAGATCTTGATTGGTGAATATATTTTAGGAAAGTTCATGGGCCCTCTTTAATAATTTACACATTGTAAACCCAAAGAGTGGACAAGGTTGAGTACACAAGTCTCAGTTATCTTCCCTTGAAGTTGCTGTCAGGAAAGAGCCAGAGAGGCACAGATAAAGGATCAGCATCCTTTGGAATAGAAATGATGGGGCCCTGATCCTATGGAAGTTTATTGTAGTTACAGCTCTTCCGATCTTTCTCATTATTAAAGAAAATTGAGGATGGAGATGGTAAAGCCAAAAAGTCCATTAACTGTCTCCCACATTTGCGTTTTTGGAAAGCCTAAAGAGAACTTTAGGCTGAAGGAAGCAGAACTTGCAGAAATGTGGTTGATTTGCTTATATAATGCATCTCTTTGAAATAAGGTCACAAAATAGTCTGGTGGTGCAATCTCTGAATCCCTGATCCAGGCATAGAATCCAGTGCAGAGCCCCTGTCCTCATTCAAATTCTTTCTGAAGATGTCAGATCCTCATCATATAATAATCATAACACAAATTCATCTTATTCTATACTTAAACAATGACAATTGCTCCCACTTTGTAAGGAAACTTCTTTTCTAGAGGATGAAAGAAATGTTATTCTTAAAGTGCTAAAGCCAAACACAAGATCCTCTGCAGAAGGACATCAACAGCCGTAATAGTCTATTCAGCCTATTCACATATTCTGGAAGAAGACTGACGAGAGCAAAATATTGCTGAACATGTTTATTTCTGGACTATATGTGTGTTTGGGAAGAGTACAAAATACTTACATAAAATGTTCACATTACCTCAAAGAATTGACAGCAGAATATAATATAATATAATATAATATAATATAATATAATATAATATAATATAATATAATATAATATAATATAATATAATATAATATGGCATCCTTTACAAACTGCAGTGATGAAAAATGATAAAATGTGTTGTGAAATCATGACACACACGTTGTCACTTCCCCCTTTTTTCTACTGCAGATGCCTATGAATATGATAATGGTGCTTGAAGAATGGTAAAAAACCAAAACTGCGGTAACTTACATGTAGCCTGTAAATCTATTGAGATCATTGTTAGGTTTTTCACAAACAATGATATTTTGGAACATTTCTGGCTCAAATTCAGTATTCTGCAAACAAACAAACAAACAAACAAAAAATCAGCAGTGATTTGTAGTATCAAATGGATATTTTTTACATCTGTTTATAAGGACTGTCCCAACATTTCTTCAGTGGCTAGAAGTGATAGCTTGAAACTGCAGATTGATGTGGCATGAATGGATCTAAAAGGTGACCCCAATTCAAGCATTTATTGTGATATAACCATAGCTGAGTTAAGCCAATAAATGAATCCAACCTTCCCCAAGCTAGTGCAATCTAGATATATTGGACTCCAGTGTCCATAATTACAAGAGTTGAAATCCAACACATCTGGAATGCAACATCATGGAGAAGGTTGAATAAAACCACCTCATTAAAGAACTTCCAGAGCGCTACCCATGGTAATCTGTATAGCACAAACCATATAAAAAGACCTGTAGCACCCAAAATTTTTCTTGTTCTTTAATAGTAGTAAGATACTACTGGATTTGTAATTATTTGTGCTCATTTTTCTTTTTTTGTATTCCCTTCTTTTTTTCTCTGTATACTGAATCAATAAAAACAACAACAACAAAAAAGCATCCAGCAATACATATAACTTTAACCTAACTTCCATATCTTCTTTAGGACTTTATATATTGTAAGCCTGGTTCACAGAATGATGAAATCTGATGATTACCACAACATAGATAAGGGTACAAAAGGTTAAATCTATAGCACTGAAAAAAAAACATTTAAAAAATATTTTATGTTTGGCCTGTAGATGATGCTGACTTTACCTTTTGGTTTTTATCCAGGGCCTGTCATGAATGTGTTTGAGAAATCACTCTATAACTTTAATATAAATCTTCCAAAATTAAAAATGTTTCACAAATGGAATTTATCCACAAAATATGGATAAAAGGAAACATTCATTATACTGCTTCTGAAAAGATAATAATATGGGAAGGGGGATAATCAAATATTTATTATTTCTGGCCAATCAGGCTTACATTTAGAGTAAAACTAACATTTGTTATCAATTTTTCATATTCCACTGAATTTTGTATCCAGAAACGCATATGTATTATATATTAACATTTCCAGTGGATGGATGAAGTTTTAGCTCTCTCCTGAAATAAGTGGTTTTAAATTGGATTTAGTTAACCTAAGTCCTTTTAATGCATATGAATCATACCTCAATACTATATGCGATTCTTCAGAAAACCTACCAAATTCAACAGGACATATTTCCAGGTAAATCTATATAGAACTGTGGCCTGAAACCTGGATATACAGTAACTTTATTGGTTGGTGTATATAAAGTTAAAATTATTGTTCAGGCATCTATAAAAAAGTTTTGCAAAAGTTGACTGCTGATGAACTAAGATGGCTGTCTCTTAGCTATGCTGCTTGAGAAGGTGCCAGCTAGCAGGTGAATTCCACAATAAGCCATTTGTTGAGCTCCACTGTGGTGTAGAGGACTAAGACTAGGGTAGGATTACGAGATATCTGAACAGGTAATGGAAGGCATGGACAATTGGAAAAGAGGACAAATGGGAGGAAAAGGAGGACACACTAACTCTTTAACTTTCTTGGCATCTGTGAAAAAATTACAGCAAAAACCTGCAAAAGAATGTACTTTGGTCTACATGTATATGAAATTACTTTTTCCAGCATCAGAAAGATAGGTTTTTCAATTGCAATATTTTTCCAACAAATCTTTATTTTCAAGAACATATTCTAGTGATAATATAGAATTGATGTCAACAAGCTTTTCAAATTTCACCATAGAAATGTATGACAAGTCATGTGATCTACAGATTACAGCGATCATAGAGTTGAAGGGGCTAGAATGAAGCTAATTGCTGGAATCAGGAAATAAATATGAGGGAGAGCAGGTGCATTCACTGCAATGGCCACATGGAAGTGTTTCATTGTCTTTTTTTTTTCCAGCCCAATTTCTGCAAGGTTTCTTTATGCCTTGAACATACCGTGTGATTTTCATCTGAAAAAATTAGTAAAGTCTTTTATAAAAGTCTTATAAAATGACACAAAAATTATAACACTGAAAATGCTGAAGGACATTTTGATATTTTCTTCTATGGATAGACTGTGTTCAAAAGATGTTACAGAAGAAATGGCAGGTGAGGAACAAGTTTTATCTGACAAGACAGAGATGGCATCAAAAGTGGATCTACAAATGACAGGCTATGAGAATTACATGAAAAAGGATGTCTCATTAGACATATAAAAGAAACTGATGTTTCAAAAAACAAAGGGAAATATAAATCATAAACCAAGAGACTGACCTGGATAATTTTTTATATTGGATTTACAAAAGAGGCTTTTTAAAGCTTTGAAGACTCTTGGGAGAAGGGACAAAGAAAAAATGAAAAGAAATCAAATTCTACAATATTATTTGAATGGATTAAAGATTATGACTGTTAGAAGCAAAAGGAAGGAATATAAAGTTGGTTTATTTGATCAAGGTTAAATAAATGTTATTTCTGATAATCTTTAATGGACTTTTTGCTGATACAAGGACTAAAAAGATGATGCTTTATGGATTTGTCTATAGATAAGAGATGGGATATGGGATGAAGTGATCACTGGTTGTAAACAAGAAGTAGGTGAAGAGTTACTTAAATTGTTTATACTTGTGATTACAGTTGGAAATCACTTATTTATATATTTTCTCTTTCTTTACTATATTCTTATTTTCTTTTTTCTTTCTATTTTCTATATTTTTTATTTTTCTTTGTCCGCTTAGTTCTTTATTTCCTTCCCTGCCTCCCTCCCTGCCTCCCTGCCTCCCTTCCTTCCTTATTAGATTTTACTATTGTAATTACAATTCTTAATAAAATTATTAAAAAAAAAAAGACCCTGAAGAAAACTGAGTAAGTTGCAAAGGAATACTATGTATTGGTAAGAAGTCCCTGCTTGCCCCCTGGATTTTTTAAACTGGCACTCACAACATTTTCTTCAAGATATGTCTCTGGAATGTTCATGGCTTGCTTGAAATTAACAGCTGTGTCCTGGTCATAAGTAAACTTAGAACCTCATACCCAGGGTGTACACACTGACATAACTGATTGAGATTGACCTGCACAGTGTGGGTGAGCATCTGACAGTGCAGCCATGCAAGCTGGCTTATCATTCCAGAGTGCAATAAATCACCTGTTTTTCCACCTCACTAACTGGAGCCTTGTCAAGCACCCATCAGTCTACACAAAACTGCTGACAGGTTGGGAGTTTATAAAGTCTGCATGGGAGGATAAACTGGAGTGGAGTGTGCCCCATCCTGTGCTGACAAAACTTTTGAAACCGATGTAGCTTTTATATAAGATTAATGTAACATATCAATAACTGATATCTTACAAAGATTAGTTTTTCTCCTCCCTTCTGCTCCATTCCACCAATGCTTATAACTCAGAAGAAAAAGCTGAGCCTGTCTTACAAGATCTCCATCCTTTTTTTCCATACAAGAGTCCTGAGGAATCTTGAATCCTGCACCTGAAATGACCCCATAGAAATGTATCTTCATGTGTTTTGCAAACAAGAGCTGATAGAAATTATTCTCTCAGTTTTTAGAGGGCAGCCTGTTCTTCTGAGCTTTTCTTGCTGCACTATATGTCAGTCTCTATTAAAAATCAATGGCTTAGAAAACAAGGCTGTTCCAAGAAACACTTAAAATACTGAGGGGAAAAAAAGGGGGTGGGGGAGGGTTATATTTAATTATTTAATTTTCCTGTCTTGATGAAAATAATCAAACATTTCAAATACTGAAACATACTATGAATGTGCCTCTCCATGTGTGAAGCTTGGGACAATTGCACCCTTCCCGCACCAAAGGCGGTGGTGATCCTGTTCTCTACCACAAAAAGAGAGGAAAGTTGCTTACCTGATGGGAGAACCCTTTCACAACCTGTCTTTGTTTAAGGTTGGTCTCACCATCGAGATTTGCTGTCTCCAAGTAACAGATCCTGTTCTGATCAGAGGAGTAGAGCAGTAGGATATCGGCGGGAATGACCTCATTGCACTGCAGCTGCACAAAGTCTCCCACTTGCACATCTTCCCAGCACTTCTCAATGTAGGTGTTTTGGTTCCTGTTATGAGAAGATGCACCACCACTTAACAATCTGTGACAGCTCCATCAAGGCACAGAGCACCTCTTTTCTTTAGGGCACAGGAAAGCATTTCCTTTAAAGACATATTTTTAAAACGCCAGTGAATTTATGGGGAGACCAGATTTATTTATTTATTTATTTATTTATTCATTCATTCATTCATTCATTCATTCATTCATTCATTCATTCATTCATTCATTCATTCATTCATTCATTCATTCATTCATTCATTCATTCATTCATTCATTCATTCATTCATTCATTCATTCATTCATTCATTCATTCATTCATTCATTCATTCATTCATTCATTCATTCATTCATTCATTCATTCATTCATTCATTCATTCATTCATTCATTCATTCATTCATTCATTCATTCATTCAATTTGTACAGCCACCTATCTCAACAAGTGGCTCTGGGCAGCAAACAATCTTAAAATAATTAAAAACAATTCCTATTGTAAGTTCAAAAATTAAAATACACAAGCAGACAGATGTTGTTAAAGCTAATGTAATATTATTGATACATGTACTCAGAGGGATTCCCACATGTTCAAGTGGATCAATAAGTTATTAAGTAGTTTTTAAGGTGAAGGACATATCCTCAAAAATTAATTATCTAAACTTTGTTGTCATAAAACTTTTTTTTTTTTAAATTCGGATTCTCAGTTTTATCATTGGTCGTGCATTCTGAAGATGTCAGCCTTATGAGGTAGGCCAGACAGGAAGCACGACTATGCTAATTCTACTTTATTGTAACGCTATATTAACAGAATCTGCAAGTCTGAAAGTACATCTTTCCCATCTCTTTTACAGCCCAAGAAACTAGGGAGGGTCTCTTCTGAGCCTCTTGCCCTACCACATTCCTGCTGTGGGCTCAGCTGCCTTTTATCTGACTGTTCCCTTGGTTGGTTCCCTCTTTGCCCTGCTCTCAAGGTCATTCCTACATACCATTACAGAATCATAGTGATCAAATCCAGATCTGACATAATTAGAAAATTATTATGTCTCCCGCTTGGGCATCTTGGCAGGGGCTTGTTCTTTTTAAAGCCAAGGTTCTACTACATTTCCAGTACTAAAGGCTGCAAGGCGTATTTGGACAATCTTGGAATGGAAGTATAATTTTGACCCTTATTCACTTGATGGATAAAACTGGTCTAAAAATGTAAGGTAAATCTTTTTCCTTAAGTCAACAGGATATTAACACTTTAAAACAGCTAATTGCCAATAAAGCTTTTTAAATCATTTGAGTTTTGTAAGAGATATTTGGATTGTCTAAAACTGTGGGCTGGCACTATATTACTTATTTAGATTTGTTATAGCTGCCCACTTCAGTTTTCTCTCTATACGTATTATAAAATATTTATCTTTCATCCTCAGTTTTTGCAGCAATCATTCTCATATATGCATTTTTCCTTATCCACAAGCTCTTTCATTTCACTATTACATCACAGATTATTTTTCATACTTCCCACTAGCATAATTTCACACACTGCTATGGTGCTTCGTAACACATTTTTTTCACTCTGTCCCAAATGACTTCCATATCTTTTTTCCTTAAGTCCACTGTCCATTCATTCTGTTGGAAGATAAAGCTTACTTTTTCATATAGAACTCATGCTTCCTATTCTTGCCCTCATTATACTTTTTGTTTCTTTCTCTTTTTCCCCTCTATGTTTCTTATGTTCCATGTTTCCACTTTAATTCTGTCTTTGCAGCTTTGGATTTTCTTGTTCTTTATGGCAGCATCAGCAACTAGATTCCTAGCGACCATCCAGCACTATATCATCAATCACATTATCTTGTCTATCCATTTGGTTTTCTTGGTAAAATACAGGAGTTGTTTGCCATTGCTTTTGCAGTTGTCATTCAAGTGATCATCTGACTCCAGTATCTTCCAATATTGCTGCTGTCTGATACTGGTGCTTGCTTGCTTTAGGTGGGCGGTTGGGATGACCTTCATTACTTGGTTGACTCTACCAAGGAGTATATACTGGGATACACTCCCAGAGCTTTCTGCTCACCCCTCTCAGGAACACTCCATTCCCCCAGCCCACAATGAGTCTGCAGGGCTTCATTGTGCTCACATACTTTAGTAATTGTCTCAGTCTTTCTTCAGAAATGATCAGCTCTTATATAATCTAATCTATAATCACCATTCACTGGAGTTTAATTTCCAACTGTCACCATTCTATGGATTCCTACTTTTATATGCACCCACAACAATTAATACATTTTAGCATTTTTTATTCCTAATCAAGCCTGCTCCTTACCTCCTACATGTATAAATCATCTCTATTTCAATAAAAATCAGCCCATCTTTACTTGAATCTACTATATGTATACCAAATCCAATTTTATCCAAGCATGTTCATACTATCCTATAGAAACTAGGGTATCTAATCAAGATAGTGTCTTGGAAGTCAGCATGCTATTCCCCCAAACCCATCAACCAGAAAGTACATGTGGTGTGCTGACATATTCACGATGTAATTTTTTGGCAGTTTACTGTAAAAGCCTGAGAAAATTAATTGCAACTGGCATTTTAAACTCAATGTACCAAGTAGCATGTGAATATATTTCAAGATGGCTTTCCACAACTAGGGTAACTAAAGAATTGAGGTCATGTGAGTATTTATAAAGGAAGGAACACTTGGAGAAGAGCCTCTTACTGTATATCTAATCCTAAATGAGAAGCATAGGATAATTGAGAAGAGGTTGAACACCAATTCCTTGGTCAAACAACCCAGTTGTTTATCTGCATTAAACTTCAATTATAATATTTCTCCAATTCTTTACTGATTTCAGACACTTCTTGGGCACCTCCTGCAATTTGTTCAAATCAGATGAAGAGGAGAAATAATAAGTGTCTGTCATCTATACCTTACCTGACAGAGAATTCTTGGACATTCAGAATTTGTACACCTTCAGTTGGCCTAATAAAGGTGTTCATTGGTTTTCTATCAAAATACTAGAGACAACTTACATTAAACACTGGAATGATTTCCCTTACACGTTCAGGCCAATAGAGCAAAAGTCTCCAATGTCGCCTTCTGGAAACACTCTACTACATAGGAATGGAACTGGAGTTTACTGCCCTAGCCTCCAAGTCTCCAATATCTTATTAGGAATAACTGCAGTCCCTAAAGTCTTCTCTCAGTGTAAGTAATGATCCAGGGCAACTAATATGGTTTAAAGAGATGGCCAGATTACAATGATTTTTATGATCTTCATAGAGGAATGAAGCTTTGTCCCTGAGTTCTCATGAATTCAACTTCATTTGTTACCTCCCTCCCTCAAAGCATATACACATTCGGTTTAATGACTATACTACAATTGAGTTAGGTTGTACAACACATGAAGCCATAAACCACATATTTAAGCAACAATGGCTGGGTTCAGAGAATATAACAAGGTGTTGGTTATCACCTTTAAAGCCCTACATGGTATGGGCCCAAAGTACCTGAAGGACTGTCTCATCCCCATTACATCAACCCGTCCCATCCAACCGGGCATGCAGAGAGGGCATGCTACGGACCCCGTCTGTAAGGGAATTTCATCTGATGGGGTCCAGGAGGCGAGCCTTCTCTGCAGCAGCCTCTGCCCTTTGGAACAATCTTCCCCCAGAAATGACATTTGTCCCCTCCCTTTTAGACTTCAGAAAAAAACTGAAGACCTGGTTTTGTCATCATGCATTA